GAAATATAGAGGGTTTAAAAAAAATAGATAAAAATATATATTGTAATTAATTTTTTATTTTCCTTAAATGGTGATTCTCTTTATATACTCACAAGTCACAATATTTTTAATCATTATGTATTTATGTTAATAATAAAAGTTGCAAATGATTTCATTGTTTCATCCCATAAATACGTAATTATTCTAAATGAAATATATAATTTTTAATATTATAGAGAATGCCAAAAGTTTCAAATTAGGATATTAGGTTATTTTTTTCGGAAATGGGATCTTTCTTCCGTTTCCAACTATACAATTAATATTTAGAATATTAAATGTGATTATAGAATGTTGAATTAATCTTTATCTTTCCTTAATTATAGTAAAATTGTAATTAAACGTTTATTGTAATCTTTCTCTTTCCTTAATTATAATAAAATTGTAATTAAACCTTTATTGTCCATAAATGGTAATTTTCTTTCTATTCTTGCAATGCAATTAATGCTTAATATATTGAATGTAATATTAAATCATATTATATTTAGTGTGATGAAAAATTTTAAAAATTGAGAAAATAGATAAATAGGAGTCCTGGCTTCTAAGGGGTGCCACATCAGCGGTTTCTCATTCAGATTTATATAGATATATAGATTACATTTACACTAGGAGGTCATTTGGTAAGATGAATAAAAATAACGTTAAATATAGTACATTAGTAATACTTGTATTAGTTATGCTTGTATTAATTGCACATATTATCTCTTATGTATTGTTTAGTTTGATGTATTAAAAGCATCATGTATTGTATATAAAAAATTATTTATAAAAAAATCCTCCACAATTATGGTGGAAAAGATGTAAAAGGTGTTTTGAAGAGTAATTGAGTCTTTAACCATGACAATACATGTATTTAGAGCTTGTTTGGCATTGCTGCTAAAAACTGCTTATTTTTAGAAGCACTTTTTTTTAACTGACTTTTAAAAAAAGTGTTTTTGAAAAATAATAATTTGTGTTTGACTAATTCATTTGAAAAATACTTTTGATAAGCAAATCGTGTATAATTTATTTTTTTAAAAGTGCTTTTGAGAGTCAAATTACAAAAAATGGCAAGTATCAATGTACTTTTAATACTAATATTATTTTATAGAGAGAAACTATTTTAAATATCTATTAGAATTTTTTTAATGAAAATATGCATATTCAAAATTTTTCAAATCAATATTATATATAAATTAATTAATTAAATATTAATATAATATTAACATGATAACTTTAATATAATTCAAAATATCAAGAAAAATAAATTTAAAAACTATTCCACAAATTAAACCACTATATACAAAAAAAAATCACCACAAAAAGAAATAAAATCCTTCATAGTTTTAACCCTACAAAAATGTTGTTGTTACATTTATTTTTGATTATGTAAAATATTAATGAAGGGAGGATATGAACTGGAAAGAAGAAAATCTATAACATTAAGTACAATAAAGTAGGGATAAGGGTCTGAAAAATATTCCAACTTTAGTCGAATTTGTTGTTGAGATACTAAACTTTTATGAGGACCTATTACCTCCCTAGACTATTTAATACCGTATTTTAAACATATATATTTGCCCACATGGACATAAAAAATAATGCAAAATTATAAATAGTAATGTGTCCACGTGGGCACATATATACCTATAAAATACACTATTAAATAGTTCAGGGGGTAAAAAATACATTATTAAATAGTCTAGGGAGATAATAGGTCCTCATGAAAGTTTAGTATCGCAACAACAAATTCGACCAAAGTTGGGGTATTTTTAAGACCCTTATCCCTAAAATAAGACGTAAATAGTATATAAAATATAAAATAAAAATAGTGTACAAACATAAAATAAAAAATTATTATATGAAAAAAAAAAATCTTGTATGAAACTTAACCAAATTTATAATATATGTTAATTGATTAATAAGGCATATATTGGTAAGTATGTATATATGGCAGGGATATTTTAATCTTCAAGAAAATAATTTTCTGCTTCTGCTTTTTTTAAGAAGCAAAATTTTTTAGCTTCTTCCCAACAGCAGAAAAACTGCTTCTACTTTCATTTAAAAACAGTTTTGAGAATTTGCCAAACACTATTTTTAAAAAAAACAATTTTAGCCTCCCAACAATACCAAACAGGCTCTAAATCACTTTGCATTATTAATACCTAAAAATTCATGATATTAATAATACCCTTCTCAATATATGATAGAGTGTATACCTAATACAAAATATACCAAATATGATATTACCCATACACAGAATTAATACATATATATAATTTTTGCTAATATAATCTACCAAACGATTCTAAATATATATTGTTGTATATGACATGACAATGTAGGGGGCAATGTGTGAATTGTCAAGAGAAGAAATAAAGAAAAAGAAAAAAAGACTTGGAAGAAGTTGGAAAACCCTAAACCCTGCGGCCTCCCCACATCTCTCAATATGATACCCAAAGTTTAATTTCTTCTCCATTTTACAGATCGCACAAACACCAAATTGGACCAAAAATGGCTTCTTTGTGTGCCTCAAGAGCAACCATTTTCAAGCCGAAGAAGCTCCTCACAATTTCGCCTACACCATTATGCCTAAGATCAACAATCTTCTTCTACAACTCCGAATCTCTCAACAATCATGATCGAATTCCAAAAGGTAACAGTCCTAAACCCCAAGAAAAACTAGAAGATCTCATTTGCAGAATGATGTCTACTCGTGCCTGGACTACACGTCTACAGAATTCCATTAGAAATATTGTTCCTTCATTCGATCATGAACTTGTTTACAATGTGCTACACAGTGCGAAAAATTCTGAACATGCGTTGCAGTTCTTCAGGTGGGTTGAAAGATCTGGTCTTTTTAGGCATGATAGAGAAACCCATTTCAAGATTATTCAAATTCTTGGTAGAGCTGAAAAGCTTAATCATGCTAGGTGTATACTCCTTGATATGCCTAATAAGGGTGTTGATTGGGATGAGGATTTATGGGTTTTGATGATTGATAGTTATGGTAAAGCTGGGATTGTTCAAGAGAGTGTTAAGTTGTTTCAGAAAATGGAAGAGTTAGGTGTTGAAAGGACTGTTAAATCTTATAATGCTTTGTTTAATGTGATAACTCGTCGAGGACGATATATGATGGCCAAGAGGTACTTTAATAAGATGGTTAATCAGGGTATTGAACCGACTGGACATACGTATAATCTTTTGATTTGGGGATTCTTTTTATCGTCAAAGGTGGATACTGCAATTAGGTTTTTTGAGGATATGAAGAGTAAGGGGATTATGCCTGATGTAGTAACTTATAATACTATGATTAATGGATATATTCGGGTGAAGAAAATAGAAGAAGCGGAGAAGTACTTTGTGGAAATGAAAGCAAGAAATATAGAGCCGACTGTCATCAGTTATACAACACTGATTAAAGGATATAGTGCGGTTGAGCGAATAGATGATGCAGTGAGATTGTTTGAAGAGATGAAGAGTTTCGGTATTAAACCAAATGCTATTACTTATTCGACACTGTTACCAGGGCTTTGTGATGCTCAGAAAATGTCTGAAGCTGGAGCGATTTTGAAAGAGATGGAAGATAAGTATATTGCACCCAAGGATAACTCTATCTTCATAAGGTTAATCTCTGGACAGTGTGAGGCAGGTGATTTAGATGCTGCAGCTGATGTTCTGAAAACTATGATCAGGTTAAGTGTTCCCACTGAGGCTGGACATTATGGTGTCCTAATTGAGAATTTCTGCAAGGCTGGTATCTATGATCGAGCTGTCAAATTTCTGGATAAGCTTATTGAGAAAGAAATCGTCCTGCGACCACAGAGTAGTTCGTCTATGGAACCAAGTGCATATAACCTGATTATTGACTACCTATGCAATAATGGCCAGACAGGCAAGGCTGAAACTTTTTTTAGACAGTTGATGAAAACTGGGGTTCAAGATCCTATTGCCTTTAACAATCTTGTCTGTGGGCACTCAAGGGAAGGGGTTCCTGATTCGGCCTTTGAACTGTTGAAGATTATGGGCAGAAGAAAGGTTCTTTCTGACGGTATTGCTCACAAATCACTTGTTGAGAGCTATCTGAAGAAACGGGAGCCTGCTGATGCTAAAGCTGCTCTGGACAATATGCTTGAACATGGACATGACCCGGACTCATTGTTGTATAGATCAGTGATGGAGAGCCTGATGGGAGATGGAAGGGTTCAAACAGCAAGTCGAGTGATGAAAATCATGTTGGAGAAGGGAGTGAAAGAACACATGGATTTAATTTCTACCATCTTGGAAGCCCTCCTCATGAGGGGCCATGTTGAGGAGGCCCTCGGAAGAATTGAATTGTTGTTGCACAACAGTCTCTCACCTGATCTTGATGGTCTCTTGTCAGTTCTATGTGAGAAAGGAAAGACTTCTGCTGCTCTGAAGCTGTTAGATTTCATTTTAGAAAGAAATTGTAACATAGACTTTTCAAGCTATGATAAGGTGCTGGATTCTCTCTTAGCTGCTGGGAAGACACTTAATGCCTATTCTATTTTGTGCAAGATGATGGAAAATGGAGGAGTTAAAGATCACAAGAGTTGTGAAGAGTTAATTAAGAGCCTTAATGATGAGGGAAACACAAAGCAAGCAGATATTCTAAGAAGAATGATACTCGGAAAGGAAACAACACTTGACAGCAAGAAAGGGAAGAAAAAGACACCCATTGCTACCTGATTCCTGCAATTTTGCTTCTGGTTACAGGTTAGAATTTCTGAATCACATTTCTGAAAGATGATGGCAGGAATTTTGTTTTGTAGCAGAATATGAGAAGCCTATGGACATTTTCCCTTTTTAAGCTTTTGCATTTTGAAGTCAGATACTATATCTTTAAGTAGGAATTTTATCTTTTAGATGTGCAAATGCATATAACCATAAGTTATCTGGAAAATACATAGGGAATGTGGTTTGAGGTCTAACGACATCTACAATCGGATGGGTGTTTAACTTTTCATGAGTGGCCTTTGTTCGATTTATTCTTTTATCTCTTGCTTTAGTGAATAACATAAAAAAAAATTTGTTTGTCCCATCTTTCAATATTTATATTAAATGAGGTGTTTGTATCATTTCAATTATATGGAAGAAGTTGATGTTATGGTGAAAGAAAAATATCTTTGTATTACCCCTGTTTTTGTCCAATGAGCTGCTGTGCTCGAGAGAAATTGTAAAGATCTAGTTATTTTTGCTTTTCCGGGTCAGTGAAAAAAGGATTGACAGGATTTGATATACAGTTGGTATACATTTATGCCATACTTTTGAATGACTAGTCCATCCACACTATACATCGAGCATAATGACTTCTGTTTTACAAAAAAATAAAAGATAGAATTATTCTCTAATTCCAATTTCTTTTCATGCATTTAAGCTTCCATTAGCTTCCTTGCCATCATTGTTAATGGTACTTGTCTATGTTTGAAGTTCACGCCCTTTGTGTATTTATTCCCTTTCTTTTATATATATGATGATTTTCCTTGTATTTTCATTCACTATTCTCTTGCCATCCCTGTTGAACATCAATTTCTTTGCTCTTATCTTGTCTGTCTGCCATGTGATGGCCGACAGACAGAGTTGTATACTTTTTATCCTGTGGCATTTAAAATCTGATTCATCCTATTGTCTCCTTCCATGTCTAATGATGGTAAGTATCTATGTTCAATAAAGATTGCACTAAGATGCTTTGCTAAAAAGAAAAGAAGAGGAAAAAGAAAAGATTCAACAAAAGTAAAAGACATCTTCTTGATGGTTTAACTGGCTAACTGCATACACCTGTTAGATAGCAGCAAATGAACTGAACCTGAATGGACAACCCTGCATGAGCCAAGTTATTTATTTGACATATGTGCCATTATTTTCTGAAATTTGTTAACTGTAATTTTTATGTAGTATGAAGCATGACATAATTTTTAGTGTGTTCACATTTAATTTAATTTATCTATTGCCCCATGCTACTTTGCTCAAACTAAAGGCTCCAAAATTGGTTGCTGTTGTTGCAGATTTGACACCTACATGATCATGGGCAGGTTCTCGCTATAGCTAAAAGAAAAACGCTCATCTGGCCCTGTCATTAGCTTCAACAACTAGGGCTTGTGGGTGTCTATTCTGTCGCGCTTGTCTACTCATTTTTTTTTCCAGAACATTGTGTTTACTGTAGTTTTCATCCTTTATTTTATTTCAGTTAGTTATGCTAACGCTGGAACAATCCTGGATGGTCCAAGGAAGAACTTTATGAATGCTGACAGGTGATATGCTCTCACTCATCGATGGTCCAGGTGGATTATGCAAAAAGATATTATCAATGGTTATGTGTGGCTTAGTTAAATCTGTCACTCTGGCTTGTATAACATGTTGAAGTATGACAGAATACTTGGATCCTCAGCACCACCTGAAAGAGTATCGATGCGACTCTTCATTTATTTATAAATGATATGGAAAAAAGAAGAAAACATAGTGTGGACACTTGTTTATTTCATCCAAAAATAAATCATTCTGCAACTGCTTTTACCTAGCAATGGCACTTTAAAGGTCGAAGCTATTATGTCTCATACTAGGGTGGATGGGAGAATTCCCATTGTCTTGATGTGATTTATAGCTTGTTTGGCCAAGCTTCAGAAATTAGTTTATTTTGAAAAGTTCTTTTCAAAAGATTACTTTTGGTGAGAAGTAGTTTGTGTTTGATCAATAAATTTATAAAGCATTTTTCAGCAGCAATTCGTGTTTGGCAAAACTTCTTCAAAGTCCATGTAAAATGTATTTTTCTCAATAGTTATTTAGGTGAAAATCTACATTTCTTAGCTCATAAAAAACAACTATTGTTACTCAAACACCTCATTTTTTTTATAAGACGAACACTTTTGACCTTTCAAAAGTTTGGCCAAACAAGTTTTTACACTCAAATTATTCAATTTAGGTGCTGACGTGGTAGTATGTTGTGCAGCAAGATTTTTTGTTATAAATTGGTTTATTAGGGAGGGATCTAGCCTCCATTTCCAAGAGTCAAAAATGCCCTCAAACTATTTGAAAAAGTTTAAATATACCCTTCATTCATCTATTGGTCTAAAAATATCCCTCAATCTACCTTTTTGGCCTATTTTTACCCTTAAAACTTAACAAATTTTTAAAGATTATTATTATTAGTACTACTTATTACGTGGCGTCCTCCTATTGGATAAAATAAAATCCCCAATTAGCCAATTTTTTCCAACCCACCCTAATCAAAACCCGCAACTTCGTGACCCAAATTCCATTAAACACAATTACCCAAAGAATCCCAAATTTAATATTCTCACCCTCTTCGTCTTCTTCGGGGAGCAACAATTTTTTTTAACAATCCATGAAGCAGATGCCAGAGGCAACCTCATCATTCCTCATCATTCCCATGACGAATTCATTGAAGAATTTTTAAAAAAATTATTTCTCCCTTGTTTTTTTTCTTCTTGTTGACCTTTATATGAATAATTATTGTCCCTCTTAATAATATATTACTCCCAATACAGTCTCATTCATATTTGGTTTGTTCTGTTTGGTCCGATCTAGTTGAATACTTCAATAATTCATAATCTATTTAAACTTTCAATTCTCTGGTTTCCTTATGATCATATTAAAATTCAATTGTTCTTCGAAAAATACCTGCTTTATTTGAAAAATAAAAAATTAATGGCGACGGCTTACGAGGAAAGCTGGGGGTTATTTGTCTGCCTCTACTTCATGGATTCCTTTAAAGAATTGCTCCAAAAAGAAAGACGAAGAGGGTGGGTATTAAATTTGGGTCACTTGTGTTTAGTTGAATTTGGGTCATAGGAACGTAGTATGGGTCGGGCAGGCTGGAAAAAATTGGTGAGTTGGGGATTTTATTTTATCCAATAAGAAGACGACACGTAATAAGCAGTACTACTAATAATAATTTTAAAAAATCTGTTATGTTTTAACGGTAAAAATAGGCCAAAAAGGTTGATGGAGGAGTATTTTTAGCCCAATAGATAAATGGAGGGTATTTTTAAACCTTTTCAAATAGTTTAAGGGTATTTTTGACCCTTTTCCGTATTATAAAAGGTGACAATTTTTGTTTAGAAATGAAAACTTCTACTCAACCAGTGCAAGATTATTCTCCCATCTCAAACATCTAATAAATCATACTTCCTAAGCAGAGTAATTAGAATTTCTTAAGTGTCAGTTTGATAATATGATGGATAAGACAAATTTAAGACTATTTGTCACAACAAACAAACGTTAAGTTGTTGCAATTGAGTAGCTCTGATGTTGAAAACAATTAAGTTGTCAAAAGTTGTAATAATTCAAGTTTGAGCTTTAAAAATGATTCTTGGACCATGCAAATTTGTTTTGAAATCGGTGCAGTTAAGTTGTTTGTAGAGCCTACTCTTTGTTTTGCAGGTTCTATTTGTAAGACATCTTAAACTACAACAACAACATATCCAGTGAAATCCCATAAGTGGGGAGGATAGAATGTATAGAAACCTCATCACTATCTCATGAAAGTAGAGAGACTGTTTCCAAAAGACCTTCGGCTCAAGTGCAACAAATTCAAGTATAAAGAAAGAGACACTGAAGAAAATATAGCAGATAAAACAAGGAAACATTGTAAGGTCTACCAAAAAAAAGCAAAAACAACTAGTATCACCTCCAAGTTAAGAATGTGAGTCGAGAGAATTTGCCTCAAACCACTCATGGTGTAGGGAAAAACAAAGATTTGAGTGATACGACTACTCTTACCCCTGGTCAAGTACATACATTGTTTCCCCCCTACCTACTCCCATGTAACCTCAAACCTTCCATCAACCTACTTTCCAAACATATAACCCTCATGCCTATGTGAGGCAAGACACTCCCCATCCAAACTGGCAACCATATCACCCTCACAAGAGGAATGTCTCAATTTGTGGCACCACTAGTACCATCTCCCGCAGCTCTACTAATTGTTCCACATGCACCTTTGCATGTACCACCCTTTCTACATCCGCAAAACCTTTAACAAGAGTTTTACCTAGATAACCAATTCCAAAACCCTTTTATGATGACATGAATGATGAGGCTACAACAAATAGATGGTGGGGTGGACCCTAACATGGGTTATGGAATGACAATGTAGCACCTAGGGATAGGGTACTATCTAGAGGCTTTGGTCGGAAACAAGGTTAAAGATGGAAAGGTGCGGTGATGGAGGTGACCAAAAATTGAAGTTTCAGTACCATCACAGTCAATCTTCCCAAATTCAAAGGTAGTAGTGATTTGATTAGTTCCTTGAGTGGAAGCAACTAAGTCAGAGGATCTTCTTCACCAATAACATCTCAGATGCTTTGAAGGCAAAAGTAGGGGTGTACAAAACCGAATTGAAAACCGAACCAAATCACAAACCGAGAAAAAACACCCGACTAGTGGTTGGTTTGACTTGGTTTGGTATTGAAAAAAAAAACCCGACTATATTTGGGTTGGTTTGGTTTTAACTAAAAAAAATCAACCCAAGACCAAACCAACCCGACATTATATATATAATTTTAAAATTTTATTTTATACATAAAAATATTTACTTTGATATAATTTTTAAATATTTCTTATACTTTTTCATTGTTTTTATCTTTTAATATATTCTTTCAAGTTTGAAACTTAGAATTCTAAATGGTTCAATAAAGATTATAGTCCACAGATTGATAATTATAATAAAGCTTAAATCAAAATCAAATTAATACTAATGCAAAAAGAAAATCAATTCAACACTAAGAATGACAATAATATTGAATATTTGTTCTTTGGTTTTACATTGGTTTAGACAATTCAAATACATAATCTAATTTTAATTTCCTTTAATATTTAGTCATGTAACTAATACTTATTAAACTTATTTTAACCTGATTTAGTACTTTTAAATTATGATCATTTTCATTATGACTTGTTAATTTGCAATATTTGTTTTACGCGATTTCATTATTATTATTATTATTTTATTGGATATTTTAGTGTCATTACTCATATGATATTTTGTGTTATTTTCTTAAGAAACACCTTAGACGATAGTTGTATTTTGGTAGGACTAAAGAAATATTTGAAGTACAAGTAAATTATATATTTGTATGAATACTTTACCGAAAAATCCAAAAATCCGAAAAATCTGAAAAAACCCGAGGTTGAAAAACCCGAGTTTTATTGGTTTGGTTTGGTTTATAGATTTAAAAATCCGACACAAATGGTTTGGTTTGATAGTTGAAAAACCTGAACCAACCCGATCATGTACACCCCTAGACAAAACAAATCCCTTACTCAATTTGAGGGCTATGACTTGCCTACTTCGCAAAAGCTGGTAGAGATCATGCATGGAGTCGAGGTAGTGAAACCTAACTATTATCAAGAGGTTCTCGAGAAGGTGTACATGCTCCAACAAGGCACCAAAAATGTTGAGGAGTACTATCGAAAACTTGAGGATGAAGACCAAGATTGAAGAGCATTTGAGCTATACAGTGATAAGATTTGTAGACAACTTGACACATGACATCTCCAACATTATTGGGGCCTAGAAGAAGCTTTTCATGATGCTTCTAAGGTTGTTGAAAGCAAAAAGAGGTTATAAGGCAAAGAGTACCTCAACTTCTTCATGAGGCAAAATTAATGACAAATGGAAATCTTCATCCATTCGTGAGCACTTAAAAGTTAGTGGTCAAGATACCAAAGCTAGACTAGATTATAAAGCAAAATAGGACGACAAAGCTAAAAGAGGTAATCATTCAAAACCTAAGTTTCCTTTTCCTTCTATTCAATGTTATAAATATCAAGATAGAGAACACATCGCAAGTGAATGTCCTAATAGGAGGTCAAGTGTTGCACTACGTGATAGGTATCATTCCGATGATAAGGAGGAGTGTGATGTGGAGAGTGAGGAAGATGACCCTAAGATTTAGTACGACGGAGAATCCTTGAAGGGTGATTAAAAGAAGTTGGAGGAAAATGCGAATGTTGCTTGTCTCATGAGAAGGGGAGAGCCTCTAGAATGTGATGATGAGCCATTGGAGGAGAATTGTGATTACTTGATACTACAAATCAATCAATTGTTACTTTATTTACAAATCCCCCTTTGTCGGAAGTAAATTGACTAAAAGTAGATAATTGTAAGTTAGCCTAAGTCTAGATCATATTTCTCGTGGGATCGACCCTAACCTAAAAATTAGGTTCTTTATTTGACAACGACCGCTTATATTTCTTAAGGGAGGTATAATTTGGGCGTATCAAATTTTGGCGCCGTTGTCGGAGAATACTACTTTTAGATTAGACTAATTTTGTTCTTGAACTTTAGTAAAGTATTTCTTGATTTTACGTTTTTATTTTCTACAGGTCTTATCTCTAGTGTATGCCAAGTACACGGAGTCAAGGCAATCCCCTGACTCCCTATCCGAAATTAAGAAGAACTCTGAGAAGAATGGTTGGAAGAGGCCTAAATCTCGAGGTACAAAATGTTCCAATCGGAGCGGATCAAGGGGGTAAAGCTGGTTTGCAACCTCCTAGAGTCTTGGACGTGCCTGGTCATGTTGAGGGAAACCCATGAGTTGAAAGTGTGGAAGGAGTGCAAAATCAGCCGGCACCGGGTGTTTGAGATAACTATAGGGTTGATCATAATGTTGTGGGATCGACTGGTGCTATAGTTGTCCTTCCATTACC